CTCACTCACTTAGTATGAACTAGATATAAATGAGAAGAGTTTCCTCTTCTCTCCCTTACTTGTTACCAATCAGTTTAGCTGCCAAGACCATTGTTATTGTTAATGTAATTTTTTAAGTAAACTTTGTCTCTCAGTAGCCAAGAGCCATCAAAATTTTAAAGCTTTCCATAAAAGCAATCTTGATTATGAAATTTGGAAGACAGCTACCTGGCCAACTGGCTGGAAGAGATCCATACTTGTTCTCATTTCCAAGAAAGGTGACCCAACAGAATGTGGAATACCATGAATATTATATGCAAGCAAAAATATTGCTTAAGATCATCTAAAAAGACTAGAACAATGCATTACTAGGGAAGTTCAAGCAGGATTAAGAAGAGGCTGTGACACCAGGGATATGTCAGATGGATCTTGACAGAATGCAGAAAATACCAGAAGGATATCTATTTGCATTTTATTAACTGTGCAAAGGCAAATGCATTTGACTGTGTGGATTATACAGACTATGGCTAACACTGAAAAGAGTGAGAATCCCATAATATTTTATCATGCTCATATGAAACCTGTATCTAAACCAAGAAGCTGTTATCCCAACAGGGCAAGGGAATACTACTTGGTTTAAAATCAGAAAGGGTATACATCAGGGCTGTATCCTTTCTCCATACCTATTTGATCTGTTTGCTGAGAAAAATCATTCAAGAAACTGGACTGTCTGAAGAAAGATGTAGCATCAGAATTGAAGGAAGACTCATCAACAACCTTTGTTATACATATAACACAGCCTTGCTTGCTGAAAATGAGGAAAACTTGAAGCACTTGTTGCAAAAGATAAAAGACTATAGCCTTTAAAATTTTTAATTATATCTCATCATCAAGAAGACAAAAGTCCTCATCCCTGGGCTGATAGGCAACATCATGATAGATAGATAGAGAAAAGACTGAAATTGCCAATTACTTCATCTAACGTGGATCCACAGTAAACACCCTGGGCACCAGCCGTCAAGAAATCAAAAGACATATTCTGTTGGAAAAAGTCTTCTGTCAGGGAACTCTCCAAAGTACTGAGAAACAGTGGTGTCAATTTGAAGACTAAGGTACTGCTGATTCAGACCATTGTCTTTTTGATTACTTGCTGAGAGCCTGAGAGCTGGAAAATAAATAAGGATGACAAAAGAAAAAGAAATGCTTTTGAGTTGTAATGTTGGAGAAGAGTACTAAAAACCCCATGGACTGCCAAAAGACTAAACAGATACTTCTTGGAGAAGGTGCAGCCAGAGTGCTTCTTAGAAGCAAAGACGGCAAAGCTTCATCTCACATACTTTGGGTATGTTACTAGAAGAAGTTTTTCCTTGGAAAGGAACATCATGCTAGGAAAGGTCAGTGAAAGAGAAGATGACCCTCAGTGAGATGGATTGACACAGTGATTACAGCAATGGGTTCGAGTACATCAGAGATGATGAGATGAGGCAGGAAAGGACCAAGTTCAGATACGTTCACAGGGTCACCATGAGTTGGACTGGATTTGATGGCACATAACAGCAACAACTTACTTCAGTCCTGCTTCCAAAAGAAATGAGAAGATGAGGCATAAAAAATAGCATTTTAAGTGAAAACTCAAGCTCATTACTATTGAGTAGAAACTGACTCATAACTGACCTTCCAGCAGGTTTTGGAAGCTATAAATCCCAATAGAATTAAAAAGATGAAAATTACAGTGGAAGAAGCCAATGTAGCAGAGTTACCTAGTTGACAGGTGTGAAATGAAAGACCAATAAACTTACCCATGAGCTTTATAGTAACAGACCTAAAAAGGAAATTTACTAGTTGCCTGATTATTCTGATCTGATTTCTATAATTCACCTCACCTTTTTTCCTTCTTCCACTACACTACTTATGCTACCATCTGAAATCTGTTGCAATATTATTATTTTTTTTCTCCATCACATATGGATTATTACTTTCTAAGTTGGTCAAGATGTGTTTCAGCCTCCTGCCTACAATGCTACATTTTTGTTTGAGTTGCAAGTTTTGTTCTTGCTGAAAGAATTTATTTCTTATCAAAACTCTGTTAAGTCACTTCCTGCAAGAATGGCAGGCATGGTTAATTCTAAATTTAAAAACAAAGCCAGTTTCACGACTTAAATGTATTTAGGTAAATTTAAAAGAATCCTTTTTTAAAATTAAAAAAAAAAAATTTAAAACAAAAACCATTTCTTAGTTATGTAAAAAGAGCAAGGGCCACATCGGGACAGTTATCTTTGACCTTTACCAACTTCACAAAGGGGAATTGTCCCTATAAACAGCATCAGTAGCACAAAACCAAATCCCATAAGGTCAGACATGTCCTCCGCACTTCCATACCTCTTTCTGCTCATCTCAACAAAAGGTTATAATTCAGATTAATACATAATTTAATTTTTAAAAAAGCTCCCAAAATGTGCACACAGGCACCTCAGCCTCAAGCCTTGGGGCTTTAGGCCAGTGTTCCCAAGTTTTCAGTACTGCCAATATTGGCTTCCCACCCTTTAATAGTCCAAAAAAGTTCTCAATCCTGCCAGTATTGGTTTTCCCCTTGCCCCCAAGGTCCCATCTCACCTTAGGTCTCCAGTTCAGCTGTGTGTTACTGTTGTAAGTGGTGCTGCTTTAGGTGTAGCTAGAGCAAGAAGGGTGTCCTGTCTTCTCTTGCTTCTTCTTCAGTGGTACCAGAAGATACTGTGTCTAGTGGCTGACTTGCTCAGTTCAATGGTGAGGCTAGCCAGTACCCTAGCAGATTGTTGAGTCTAGCCAATCCTCTTGTGGGATAGTAGATAGCCAGTCCTCTTGGGGGTAGGCTAACAGAGCCCATCTACATAGCGAAGTCAAACAATGGCTAGGAAAAGTCACACTGAAACGTAAGCTCCATATTTTCTCAGAACTACTTATAGCATAAATTGTACCCTTCATCTTTGTGTTCCTAATATTCCCTAAACAAATTCATTACTTACAACAACAAAAACTGAATACAGACAGTTTTATCAAAAATGGGGTGGCAAAAACATTCAGAGGTAAAAGTTGGCCCAAACTGAAACTATTTCAGAATCTTCATTTGCCCCTTTGTTTTGCATACATTGCTACAGGGTGAAAATAGGTTTAATTTTAAGACTCAAAGTGTTATGTGATAGTGGTGATAATAATCTTGCTCATTTCATAATATTTAAAAATGTATACTCCAAAACACTTATGGCCCCACAGGTTTCAGGAAAGTTTATGGATGTGAGATAATTTGGTAAGTGTAATTGAAGTGAAGTTTGATACAACGAGGTACTTGGAAATTAGAGAACAAGGGTCCTGGTATCACAATAGTTAAGTGCTCTGTTGCTAACCAAAAGGTTGGCGGTTCAAACTCACCTAGAAGCTTTGTAGGAGAAAGAACTGGGGATCTGGTCTGGTAAAGACTGCTGCCAAGAAATTACTAGGGAGCAGTTGCACTCTGCCATGTAGGGTCACTAAAGGTCAGATTTACCTGGATAGCACCCAACAACAACAGAAACTTCTCTGCTGCCATTTATGAAACTTAAAGGAATACATCCAATCTCTATCAACAGATCCAGTGTATCAAAATTTCATTTTGCTGTGAAAGCATTAACTGGTCCTCATTCATGCTCATACATCGAGGGAATACGAAGTGTTGCACAGTCAGATAGAATTGTTCCTATCATGATCTAACAGGAGTATTTCGTATGGTGTGTGGATTTTTCTTTTAATGTTTTCTTTTCATTTATACCTATCACTTGATATCTTTTTGTTTTCTTTAACATTCTTTACAAAGGTGTCACATCAGCTTTTTTTTTTTCATACTGGCGATTTAATTGCAAAAGCACACATAAACTGTGTGGAAGGTGTGAGGAGACATTCACAAGTCACATGGGAAAGCAGCAACAACGCGAACATTCAGTGTGGAATTTGTCCACTGTGCAAAACAGATTGCATTGCCAGTGGTGTCTCCTGAAATTGAGTGAAAAATGAGTTTGATACAAGAAACATTTGTTTCATGCCAGAGATGCTGTGGGAAATATTAGATGGATCAGGTGTGGGCTGTGGGCTCACAAAGCTTAGGTTTAGTAGGAAAAGCAAGACGTGTATATAAAACAGATTATATACACATTATACAGATGATATAAAGCAGAACCTGTCAGACAGCACAATCAGAGGAGAGACCTTACAGTTCAGAACATCAGGAAAGGGCGTGGGTTTTCCCTGGGTCTGTAAAGATGAGGAGGATTGGATATGTGGAGAGATTGGACTGGTGCAGTGAATACCAGAATGGAAATGATGGAATCTCAGCTTTGAGGAAGTCACAGGAGAGATGCACATAAATAGATAAGCTAATGTTGTAATAGATACTCTGGAGTCCTTGGGTAGGCAAATGCTTAAAGCAGCCAGCTACTCATCAGAAGGTTGGCTGTTTGAATACATCCACAGGCATCTCAAGAACAAGCTTGTCCTTGTGATTCCAAAAGAAAAATCCTCTGTCCCCGCTGACATAGATGGCATCAAGAGTCAGAATCAATTTGACGGGAATGGTTTTTATTTTTTTTTTTTTTTCGTTTTCTCACAGAGGAAAATAATAATAAATCTTTGGAATAGATGGGACCTTTTAGCTGAGTCTTGAAGGGCACAGGAAGGCTAAGGGAAGTCAGGAAATGCTTTTAACCCATTGTCATTGAGCTCTTTCCCACTGAGAGCAACTCAAGGACAGAACAGAACTGCCCCCGTAGGGTGTCTAAAGCTGTTACTGTTACAGAAACAGACTGCCGTATTTCTCTCCCTTGGAGCAAATGATGGATTCCAACCACCAACACTTCAGTTAGAAGCCAAGTGCTTTGCCATTATGCCACCAGGGATCCTTAGGAGATAGCTTTAGGCAGAGTAAGTGTTAAGGTGCTTATTTGGGACTCTCAGGCAACAGGACTATCTGCATGGTCCCAACACCAAGTGACTGTTGCACTATCTTGTCTTTGCAGGTGAATCAGATTATTCCTCTGGAAAAACACAGAGTGGAAAAGGGCTGCAGAGTAAGAGTCAGTTTAGGACCATTGCACCAAAAATTGCACCTAAAGTCCCAGCTTCCAAGGTGCTGCCATGTCAATCCCCGTCACTCTCCAATCACCTCAGTCTGAGACCCTCCATCAGCTCCAAGCCCTTGGTGATGTCTCCCCAGAACTACACCGTGATGCAAGTTGCTGGCCATGAGGGGACATTTTCTCTTGTCACTTTTCCACATGTTGCCTCTGTGCAACCAAACCAGAAAACCATGGTGTCCCTCCCTGAAAACCTGAAACTGCCCATTCCTCGGTACCAACCCCCAAAGAGTAGCAAAGCGTCGAAAAAGAAGGCCAGCTCCTGCTCCTCCAAGAGTAACTGTAGTAAAACCCCTCTCCAGATCCAAATATGTATGCAGGGGTCCCCTCTCCCAGCCAGCCATCCTGACCTCCCCCACAAAACCCTGTCGTCCAGGCAAGTGCTGTCACGAGATGAAGCCCTGGTCACCATCCACACAGATGGAGGTGGCCTCAGAGACAGGCGAGCTCCTTCAGTACCCAACAGTGGGGATGTGAACACGCTGGCAGCCCCACAGGCATCTTCGTTGCAACAGGCCCACACAAAGGATGCAGGAACAACAACCTTAGCCAGCAAGACAACCCTTGATAAACCACCCACTGTTCAGCTTGCAAAAACCATAGCTAGCCTGTCGCAGCCAGTTTTGGGCAATGCCATTCAGCCGATCTCTTCAGTTCCTGACGGGAAGTTGTCCGCCTTACCCCACTCAAGAATGAAGACAACAGAGACTTACAAAATCGAGTCACATGCTCACACTGAAGGATTATCTGTACCTGCGACTGGAGTGGACTGTGATAAGATGCGCTCCAGTGTCCACAACTCCAGCCCAGCCACCAAAGTGGCCCACATGCTGCCTGCTCCTCAGGGGACCAGGCTGGGTCCCAGTGACTGTACCTTCTGTCCCTTCCCCAAGCTTGAGCTCAACCACAAACCAAAACTTAACAGCGGGGCTGGCAGGAGGAGAGCTAGGAAACAGAAGTTACCAGATAACATCACAACCTTTCAGGGGAAGAGGGGGAAATGCAGCATTAGTAGTAAGAGTAGAGATGGGAAGGGAGGAGGAGAAAGTAATCCACAGGAATCCAAAAACAATAAACCTCTGAAGAAGTACCGTAGCATCATGCCCAAGCCTGTACTGCTGGGCCCAGTCTGGACTTCCCTGGCTTCTCCCACAGCCATGCCACCCTCACAGACCTCCTGCGGCCTAGGACTGGACCCCCTAGTGAATCATCTGTATCTACTCACAACTAAAAGTGTGGGCTGCAAGGAGAATGAAGGTCCTTCCACTAAGCCTGGCTTTGCCTTCCAGAATGGGTGCTCCAGCCTAAAGAAGCCTTGGCACCGCTGTCAGGTGTGTAACCACCACTTCCAGTTCAAGCAGCACCTTCGGGACCACATGGACACACACACCAACCGGCGGCCTTACAGCTGCCGCATGTGCCGCAAGACCTACATGCGCCCGGGCAGTCTGAGTGCCCACGTGAAGCTGCACCATGCAGAGACCCGCCCCAGGAGGCTGGTGTGCTGTCAGTTTTGTGCAAAAGTCTTTGGCCACATGAGGGTCTATTTGGGCCATCTTAAAGAAGTGCACAGGGTCCTGATCAGCACTGAGCCCTGCCCCAGCAGCAGGAGACTGGAGAACAGAGACAGGAGCATGAGGGGGCCTGAGGGATCTGGGGCGAGGTGAGTGCTGATGGCATCTGTTTTGATTGGGAGGGATTCTAAAATTTCATATACTTTGTGGCCATCTGGTTGGTAAAACCAGCTCCCTGATTAAAATTTCATAAAGTAGCTTATTTCACACCCCTTCCCTGCAACCCCAACACCAGATTCCCCTCCACTCCCCCACCGCTGTCCCAGTGCTGTGAAGGGTGACCTCAGTCATCTGTGAGTTCTCATCAGTCATAGATTTGTAATTACTTTAACTTCCATAAGCCGGGACGTTAATATCAATTTGAGGTATATTGGCGAAAATAAAGGGGTTCTCAATTAACTCATTGTCATCAAATAATAACTGACTCATAGCTGTCCCTCCATTGGGTTTCTAAGGCTAAATATTGCACAGGAAGAGACTGCCTGTCTTCCTCCTGTGCAGCTGCTGGTAGATTTGAACTACCAGAGAGGTACTGCTTTGGGATTAGCAGCATAATTCCCTACAGACTATGCCACCAGAAAGAAGCTAATAAAGCAGCAGGAGATTCATTTATTTCTGAAATGGAAGTTACAACTTATTAGATACAGTTCTTTGTAATCTTTTTTTACAAGTAAGCTCACCCAAAATCCAAAGATTTTTTTTTCTCAATATCAATACTTGCCCCAGAAACAGCCCATGGTGGCCCTTTGGTGGGGACTCAGGGTGGGTCTGCCGTGTTGGTCGTTCTAAAGGTGGCCATACCTGACCCTGGCCTTTACCCCATTCTTCTCAGCAAGACTTGCAGGTTTGCATTATAAATAAATAGGCTAGCTCTTAAAAGCCTCATAGTTGGGACTAGAGCAGGATGTGACAGGGGACACACCCCATTGTGGCTGAGAGATGTGTGATTCTAAGTGTCCACTGGACTTTCATGGACATTATCCTCAGCATTTTATTGGAATTCCCCATTTTGCTGAAATCACTAGAACATCTTCCCACCCCTTACATTTTCTGTCCCTCATCATTCATAAAGATACATTTTGAAACAGGAACTATACTTTCATCTAAATGTTTACTTATTTTTTCATGCATATTAAAAAGAATAGTCTTATTCTATTTTATTCTTATTTTTTTCAACAGTTTTTGCGTTTCTGTCACCTTTCAGACACTGAAATTTGCCTAATTAACAAACTCCCTCATAAAATATCCAAACCCCATAATCTCTAGTTATCTTTTTTGTTGTTGTTGTTGTTAGATTTCCCTTTTTAAGAATAATGCCCAATGTGCATCAGTGCTCAGGTCTATAGGGACGGTGGAGACAGTTTCACCTACTGAAGCCCAGTGTGTCCCAGCCATGCTGGACTTGGTACCACCTAACTCTTAAATATCAATTACACCGATTTCTGACAAATACAGAATAATAAAGTAACCTAGGACAGAGGACTTAAGGGAAGCACACTTTTATAAAATGAATGCCAGGAGCTTGAGAAGTGTGTGGCCTCAGGCAGGAGTGACTGGTGGTTTTCAAGGCAGCCTTTGTCCTTTTTTGGAGTCCCTGATGGTTAACATGTTCAGCTACTTACCTAAATATTAGAGGTTTAAATCCATCCAGAGACACTGAAAAGAAAGGTAATGCTGATCTACTCTTGAAAAATCAACCATTGAAAACCCTGTAGAGCACAGCTCTCTCTGACATGTATGAGGTCACCTGAGTTGGCCTCTGCTTGATGGCAACCAGTTTGTTTATTGGGATTTTTGTTTGCTTTTGTTTTGTTACTGTGCTTCTCACCAGCAGATATGTTTTAGATCTATGAGGGTAAGAGCTAAAAAAAAAAACAAAAACAAAAACAAAAAAAAAAACCTTTAAGTGTGTTTTCCCATGAAATCTAACAAACACTCCTTTCTTCCTTTATTTTTCAGGGAAAATAAACCAAGCCTGGAAGAAGATGTCTTTCTGAATCAGGTGGACTCAGGCAAACTACAAATCAAATGTGGCCACTGTCAGACCACGACTCAGTCTTTTGCAGAAATAAAGTTTCACTTACTGTATGTTCATGGAGAGGAGATTCAAGACCAACTGCAGGGAGGGATTTTACCTGGAAGTCAAGTTCAGGAAGAACTGGTTAAACATGCTGCTCCATACTGGAAACAACATCCTGAGAAAAGAAAGCTAGTGAAGCATTGCTGCTCTGAAGAGGGACTGCATGCATTTCCTAAATTGAAAAAGCAACTCTACTTTCATCAACAGAACAACATGCAAATACAAATAAAAACTGAAGGAACTCAACCAGAAACAAGTGAGCCAGGGGAAGACACCCAAGGCCCTAAGAATCCCACTTCTGACACCATTCTTTTCTGCTCCCATTCAGGCTTTAACTGCCTGCTCTGTGCACAGACCCTGGGAAGGAGAGAAGAACTTCTCCTGCATTGGGAACGCCAGCATAACTGTGAAGATCCTTCCAGACTGTGGACTATTTTAAATTCATTCTGTAAGCAGGGAGTGATTGATTTTTCCAGTAAGACTGAAAACTGAAACAATGGGGACAAAAGTAGGTATTGAGGAGGGTTTTACTATCATCTTTCTCCAATAGCTTGTGCTTTATTTATAGTTCTTAGTTATAAAATCAAGCAAGTTATGCTCAGCATTAAGGAACAGAAATGATTTTATGCATAGATTTATTTTCTTATAAAATATATGACCTTGATGCATCTTTTTCAGCCATATGAAGGCTTGTCTTCTTGTCTTAAAAATTCTATGTACCACCCCTCATCATCTTAGACTTTATTTTAGAGTAAATGAAAAGAACCAGATTTGAAGATCAGAATGTAAATATTTATAGGCTGTTCTTAAAAAAATAGTTTTCAGTGAAAACATGTTATGTGTGTCCTTCTGTTCATCCACCTGCTACTTACCTAGATTGACCAACTTATAACTTTCCAGGTAACCAAACTATTTCTGTCTCAAACAGGATCAAGTTGGGTGGAAAATGTTAATATTTATGAAAATACTGTAGCTTAATTAAATATGCTATATCGTCTACGACTCGACGGCACCAAACAACAACAACAACAACATATAGCAGTTTAACTATGGTTTAAAATCAGGATTGTATGCATTCTCCATATTTGTTTAATCTGTATACTGAGCAACGCATTCAAGAAGCTGGACCATATAAAGAAAAATGTGGCATCAGTATTGAAGGAAGACTCATCAGCTACCTGTGTTATGCAGATAACACAACCTAGCTTGCAGAAAATAAAGAAAATTCTAAACACTTACTGCAGAAGGTCAAAGACTACAACCTTCAATATGGGTTGTATCTCCACATAAAGAAAACAAAAATTCCCACCATTGGACCAATAGGCAACATTATGATAGATGAAGAACACTGAAGGTGTCCAGGATTTCATTTTATTTGGATGCACAGTCAACACTCATGGTTAACAGCAGTCAAGAAATCAAAAGACGTGTTGCCTCGGGGAAATCTGCTGTCAGGACATCTCCAACATTCTAAGCAGCAAAAATAACAAACAGTTTAAAGACAAAGTTTCACCTGAGCCAGGACATAGTATTTTAATTTGCTTTTTATGCATCTGAAAGTTGGACAATAAATAGGGGGAAACCAGAGAAGAATCAATGCCTTTAAATTATATTGAATGTGCAATGGACTTCCAGAAGAACAAACTAATTTATCTTGATGATGTGCAACCAGAGTGCTCCTTAGAGGCAAGGATGATGTACCCTCTTCTTACATATTTCAGGCATGTTGTCAGGAGAGTCTAGTCCCTGGTAAAAGACATCATGCTGGGAAAGGTAGAAGGTCAGTGAGAGAGGAAGACCCTCAACAAGAGAGATTAACACAACGATCATGACAATGGGCTTGAGCATAGCAGAGATAGTAATGATGGAGCAGGGTAAGGTGCAGATGACACCTTACCTGAAGTGGACCTGAGTGCTTGCTGCAGAAGGTCAAGGACTGTAATCTTCAATGTAGATTGAAGCTCAACATCAAGAAGACAAAGATTCTCACCACTGTGTCAACTGGCAGCACCATGATGGATAGAGAAGAGATCGAGGTTGTTAGCAGCTAAAGCTTGCCCAGGTCCACAATCAACACTTTTAGCACCAGCAGTCAGGAAATCAAAATATGAATTGCATTAGGTAAATCTGCTGTCAGGGACCTTTCTAGAGTGTTGAGAAGCAATAATGTCAATCTAGAGACTAAGGTAATGATCTAGGCCATGGTCTTTACAATTACTTCCTATGCATCAGAAAGCTGGTCAGTCACTAAGGCTGACAGAAGAAGAATTGATGCCTTTATGTGTTGTGCTGGAGAAGAGTCTTGAACATACCATGGACCTTCAGGAAAACAAATTCTGTCTTGAAGAAGGTGTAACCAAGTTTCTCCTTGAAGACTAGGATTTTGAAGCTCCATCTCATATACTTTGGGCATGTGGCCAGGAGGTACCAATTCTTGGAGAAGAACATCATGTTTGGAAGGGTGGAGAGACAGTGCAGGAGTGGAAGACCCCAGATGAGCTGGATTGATACAGTAACTAGGTCAATGGGAGTAGGTGTGTTGGAGTCAGTGAGACTGACTCAAGACAGAGCAGGCTTCAGAGCTGTTCTGCATAGGATCTCGATGATTGCAGGTAGCTCAATGGTACATAGCAGCAACAACTATTGTTCATTGGCTCACTATGACTCATAGTTGACTTGATGGTTCCTAACAACGATATACAGTACATTTAATAAGGTCATCTATTATCATTTTCTAAGGAGCTCTGGTGGCTGAGTGGCAAGGAACTGTGCTGCCAACACAAAGGCATGGAGTTTGAATGCACCAACTGCTCCACAAGAGAAAGATGGGTCTTTTCCTTCCATGCTGTTCACTGCCTCTGAAAAACAGCTGGAGGATCAGAAATGGGTCAGATCCAACTCGATAGTAAACGACAAACGCATCATAACTTGAGAGAGCTCTGGTGACTTAGAGGTACTGAGTTGTGGTACCAACCCACATGTACACAATTCTAATTCACTGTCTGCTCTTAAGGAGAGAGATGGGCAGTCTTTTTCCATGTGATTAACTGGCTCTGGAAACCTGCTAGAGGAACAGCTATGAGTCGGTTCCAACTCAATGGTACCTAACATCAGGAACATCATTCCTCTGGTGGCCTAGTCCACTGCTAAACCAAAGGCCACACCACTCTATAGATTCAAGTCCCCCAGAAACTCTGAAAGCGTAAGATGGGAAATCTCTTCCCATGCAGTTTGTAGCCTTAGAAACACACTGCTTTGAATCAGTTTTGAAGTCAGCTTTGAATCAGTTCCCATCTAATAGCATTGAGATTTAAGTTTAATTAAGACTTAAATTCCATGTTTTTGGATTTTTAATTTATATTCTATTTTCTTAAATGTACTTTGCCTTGAAGATTAATTCCTGGCAAGTCGTTAAGGCTATTGTGTGCTATAGCAAAGT